ATTATATATATATATATTATGAAATAATTATTTAGGTTAGCAGTATTAATTTGAATATTAACGAAATAAATTAAATTTTTGTAACAAAATTTATGTCAAAATGTCTAATTTAATTAGAGGATAAGAATCTACATAACAATTAGATAATTTTTAAATGGTTACAGTACATATAACCAGTGTCTGTCAAGTTTTAAAGTGAAAGAGGCAAAAGGATAAAATAAATACCAAGCAGGGCAAAATTTATGATAAAGAACTTACTCCTGCACCTCCTCTGGCTAAACCATTGCATATAACTTGATGATTATGGTATCTAAATAACATTTTTCTGTTCTATTTTTTTTTTTTTTTTTATGTTATAACTTTATATGGATGGTCTAACAAACCAAAACAAAACACCTGAAGAATATATGCTCTAATTTAATTTTTTCTCTTTGGTATTCTTCATCAAAATAATGCAATAATCATAAATTAAATGCAAAAAATTATCAAACTATTTTGGAAATTACCACTGTAAATTCTACTTTCTTTCTGATTTTTATGGCAATCAAATAAAATTGTTATTATTCCTACAGATTTAAAATTAATGGTAACTTTTTTCTATGATATCACCTATGCAGGATAACTTTAATGTGATAACGAAAACATTTAAAATTATTACTAATTAATTATAGACATACAAACCACTTTACTAAGATCGTGCAATCGACAAACAAGGAATTCAAATATTGCTACATTCTGCATCACTAGACTCACTTCACCAGGGTTTTTTTTTAAACTCTTTCTTCTCTTTTGGCACTAAGACATCATTCTTTCGGTCCACTAATCGAACCCGCTTTGAACTAATTGAGCCTCATTTCCATCCCTTGAGTGCGAACTCTCGAGTGCCCTCGAGAGCCTCATTTCCGTCCCTCGAGTCTAAACCAGCCAAGAGGCCCCTTCAGTCCTCTTGGCGGGTTCAGACTCAAGGGACAGAAACAAGACTCAACACACTGACGCAAACCACCCCAAAAGTTCTCCTGATTTTTCAACTGGTCCACATTTAATTCGGGTCCCCAGAGCATCAGAATCAGGCTTTAACTACCCCGGCCGTCCGACCGGCTCATCAGACGCGTCAGAATTAAAACAAGACGGAAAGAATCGGCACAGAACATAACGAAAAGGATTACATCAATGCAAACGAGGAAGATTCTTCGATAACAACATAATTTTGCAAATCAAATTGCAAAAATCCTATAAATATATATAACACAAAAAATATTAAGAAAGCAAAAATTGGAGCAAGGGTAATTTAATTAAATGCATCCTTTAATCAATTATTCTACCATCCAAAAGCAAATAACAAAAGTATAAAAAAAAAAATTATCACAATAAACGATAACGTAGATGCATATTACACATGACTTTTGTGGCATCAAGTTACAGAAATAAAAAATAAAAACTTATCAAGCAATTATCAGTTTATGAAGTAATGTAATAAATCTGCCCTTCATAAATTATATATGTATGTATATATATATATAACCTGGTATATAATTTACAGGGAAATTGATTATTTTTATTTGACTCCTTCGTCACGTGACGACGAAACGAATGAAGTCACGTCTGGTTGAAATTGACAATTAACTTGAGAAAAACTCACCTAAAACTAAACGAAGATGTTTCAAACGACTAAGCGAATCTTTTTTAACGTCGAGTACTTTGTACATCGATTTTTTAACATCCGTGTGAGGTTTTTTACTGAACATTTTGTATAAATTTGATTTACTTTAATCTTCATTTAAAAATTTATTCGATCTACTTTGTTTTCAATAAACTCCCGTCCCACCGATACCAATGGCGACTGTCGCGACCTCGCCAGTCGTGACGAGATGGTGACACGGTTAAAAACAAAAACAAAAAAATTGGTTTAAAATATATTTAATTTTATAAATTAATAATAACTATTGTTAGTAAAGTAATAATATTTCATTTAAATTTCTCGTTTAAAAAATATTTTAACTTGTGAGTAAAATTTGTTTTATAAATTATTATTATACGATAGTGCTCGACGATCGAGCGGTCAAGATGGAAGACGTGGGTTCAGATCCGGTCGGGTCAAAAAAATCCTCAGGAATTTTTCGGGAGGTGTCCCTCACCGCTCCATTATGGGCCTGGCCAAACCCGTAATGGGCTTGCTAAAAGAGGCCTTTTTTAGTACTTAACCACAGGCCGAAGAGAGTTTGTTTGTTTACTTAAGTTACGGCAACGCAACACTTGGGCGATCTTCCTAGAAAGTATGCCTTCCGGGAGGGTATATGCCTAGAGGGTGTGCCTTTCTTTGTAAGGGTAACTGGCCTCTATTCAGGCGTTACAGACGTGGCGAAAACTCCACGCGGACAGCCCGTTCGAGCGAGGCGCGAACCCACGACAGAACTCAGTGTTCAGGGTACGAAGACCGCTTGGCCACAGGTGGGTGGGCATAATTATTTTTAAGATATACAAAATATCTTGAAATCATATGATATTAATTATTTTTCATTTGTAAAGTAATTTAATACGTTTTGCAACCTCCAAAATCATATTAATAATGCTGTTTAAGATACATATTAAAAATTACCTTTGAATTACATTGAAATTTTCACAAATAGAAATCAAATAATATAATTATTTTTCATTTTTTAAAGTAATTTAATACGTTTTGCAACTTCCAAAATCATATTAATAATGCTGTTTAAGATACATATTAAAAATTACCTTTGAATTACATTGAAATTTTCACAAATAGAAAAAATTTATTAAAGTTTGCTGGAAACTGCATACAACAATAACAATAAAATGCTTTGAATTGAGTTGAAAATTTAAAAAAATGAACTTTTTAAGGCTGAGGAAATTTTGCAAATAGAAAGTATAATAACTCATAAACTGACAGAATACATTTGTATTAATTTTAAACCTACTTATTTAGTTTTTAAAATTTTTGCTCGTTATGGCATGTCAATAATAAATATATATTTCTGGAAGGACTGAAAATTCTTTACTTGTCAGAACCTGTAATATCTGGAGTAATTGTGCTTATGCTGTCTTAATTTTTAACCATGTCCAGTAGCTTCAATAACTGCGTTATGACAAGTTGTGCAAATTGGGCAATGATACAAACGAGTACGAAATCTGCAAGTGTAAAGATTTTCTTCGTAAACCTGATTATTAAACTCGAACTAAATGTATACACGACACAGTATCATCTCCCAAACTGTCCGAATATACTGTACCTATATAATACATTTCTAATGGTTCCGTATAGACATTAAATTATCTAAAAAATAAATCCCCCTTGAATATAAAACGTACCCACTAGTGACCGAGTGGACAACTACTGAACACACTCCGAGGAACTTTTGTAGACATGTTTCCGCTATAACAGGTTACCTACTTAACACCGCGTATATAAAAATCGTGTTAAGATATTCTGGTAACACTTGGCATGCAAAGGGCCACAATCATTAGAAATTTCTCTTGAGATTTTCTTGAGATTAATATATTTTGAGATTTGATCTTGATATTAATACAGTCGACCCCCCTATAATTACGGTCCCTATAATTACGATTCCTATAAAACTACGAAAAAATTGTGACCGGTATCCGTAAAAAACAGTAAAAATTCCCTATAATTACCTCAAACGTCATCGGGCAGCCGAACTACTTTCCTGCTGTCAGTAGCGCCACGCTACGGAGAGATTTCTATCATCTGGACAGTATTATATAAATTATATATAAATTAGGTACTGTACATATAATTATATATTAATTATATATA